GTCTGCTTCTCCTCTGCCTGGTCCTGAATGTCAATCTGCAGCGCTACCTCCCCCCCAACACACACGCACACACACACGCACAAGCACACGCACACACGCACGCACGCACGCACGCACGCTCAGACAGTATAGCTACCAGTGATGCTGCACTAATTAGCCAAACCCTCTGGAGTAGCCGAGCCCTCCCCGTGGCATCTGTGCCAAACAGAATTATTAAAGAAGCAGGAGGAGGAGGAGTGGCGCCTCCTCTGCAGCGGAGCACACACACAGGATCCGTTTAGCATTCACTGCGTCGCCCTTCGTCATCAATATTAACACCTATATACATCCGTCGCCATATTTTCTACCCCAACCTAATGAAAATTTCATGTGAATCACATAATTATAATTCTGTATTCAAATGAGCTCAGTCTGGAGATGATGTGTGGTGAATGAGAAGTCTGTTTTACTCAATGTAAGTAAAGAATTCTGTCGTAGACGGCAAAACAAGACATTTGAAATCATCAATTTAGACAACCATGTGAATAATAAATTCATTGATTGATTTATTCATAGATAATTAAAAATAAACTGTATCCACTGTCTGTACGTGTGTGTGTGTGTGTGTGTGTGTGTGTGTGTGTGTGTGTGTGTGTGTGTGTGTGTGTGTGTGTGTGTGTGTGTGTGTGTGTGTGTGTGTGTGTGTGTGTGTGTGTGTGTGTGTGTGTGTGTGTGTGTGTGTGTGTGTGTGTGTGTGTGTGTGTGTGTGTGTGTGTGTGTGTGTGTGTGTGTGTGTGTGTGTGTGTGTGTGTGTGTGTGTGTGTGTGTGTGTGTGTGTGTGTGTGTGTGTGTGTGTGTGTGTGTGTGTGTGTGTGTGTGTGTGTGTGTGTGTGTGTGTTGTGTGTGTGTGTGTGTGTGTGTGTGTGTGTGTGTGTGTGTGTGTGTGTGGTAGGTAAACGTCCTTCCTTGCAGGCCTGTAAATAGGCAAAATAAATTCATTAGCTCCACCGCTAATTTTTAAATGCAATAATCGATGCCCCCGCCTTCTCATCGCCCTCCTGTCTTTTGGCATTCGCTCGGCTTTGATGGCTTATTTGCTGATTTGTTTATATATTTATTAATTAATTTACCCCCCTCCCCAATCCAATTTTAGCTGACATTTCTTGTCGAGATGCAAAGGATGACCTTTGGAAACAGAACACTTCCTGCCGGAGACGTGAAGGAGGTCTCACTCTGCTCTAAAAATGTCCTCACTTATTTTAAATGCATAACCAGTTGTCTGATAATATAGTACTGTAGATACATGTGCTTATACCAAGTATGCCTAACTAATGTATATTTTACTAGCCATAGCTGTAACTTAAATGTCAACGTCTCTTTCTGGTTCATCTGATTCCAACATGCATGAAAAGAAAGCACTTTATAGATTTTTTGCAGAGTCAGAGGAGAGTTTTTAAACTACTTCCATATCTGAAAAGTAGAACCAATCTCCTCATCTTACTCTCTGCGAGAAGACGAGTGATCTTATCTCCTACAAAGGTCAAACTGTTGCTGTGAATGTATCAAAAATGGTGGAATAAGCTCACGCTGATATCAGGACAGCAGATTTTCTACATATCTTCAAACACAGACTAAAAAACCCACCTGACTCCACTGCACCTTGACCAAAAAAAAGATAAAACCACTTTTCATTCCTGCAAGTAGCACTCATAAAGGCTTATCTGAAGCTAATGCACTAGCGCTTAGCATGTTTTGGCGCATTGAAAGCTAACGTACATGCAGGATCCTTACTTTTTGAGTTTCTATCTTCATGGTTAATTTAACCTTGTAAATAGCTTTTGATTAAGGCGTCAGCTAAGTGAGATGTAATGTATCCGGGAGACTTATTTATCATGTGGTTTTTTGTTGTTTATCTGGTGACTCTAGCTAAATGACTATCTAATATAAAACAATATGTAGAAACATCTCTGAATGAAGGGCATGCAGATTTCAGAAGTCCACATCATCCAAAAATAATCTCCCAAAAAAAACATAATTTCCATCACAAACTCACAGAAATGTACCTTGGTAGGATTAGAAAAATATTCTGGTAATGCTAAAATAAGTATGGACAGTAGGTACACACGTAGTGTCTCTCCTTTAAAGAGTCCTCTCCTGCTGCTTCTCAGGTTCATCATTCGTAAGGTCATCATCTTAACCGTTTTTTATGCTCATCGAGTTCCTCCTTCGCGTCGAAAGGAGCCAGTTGAGGTGGTTCGAGCACCTAGTAAGGATGCCACCTGGGCGCCTCCCTAGGGAGGTGTTCCAGGAACGTCCAGCTGGGAGGAGACCGAGGGGTAGACCTAGGACCAGGTGGAGGGATTATATCTCTTCGCTGGCCTGGGAGCTCCTTGGGATCCCCCAGTCAGAGCTGGTTGATGAGGGGAAAGGAACGTTTGGGGCTCTCTGCTGGAACTGATACCTCCACGACCCGACCACGGATAAGCAGGAGAAGATGGATTTGGCATGCCTTTAGCAGCTGAATGTGGCGATTACCATTTGTTCAGCAAAACGCCTCACAAACGTATTAATATCTAAAGCTTTAGGGCATTTTGATTCAATGCTGAGTACAGCCAAACTTGACAGTCTCTTCTCTGTCATTGTAGACCTCAAATACCTCATTCCTTCCGTCTACTTGGGTCCGAATGCTTCTCGTTTTGCGCCGTCCCGTTCAAATTAATTTGCCGGCAATCACATTTCCAAGCTCGCGCCAGGGCCGGGGGAGGGGTTACAAGACTCGCGTCTTGTGCTGCATTCACTTGCACTCGGACATTAGGGATTTTCTCTCATAAATTTCCGATGAGCCACAACTTTTATTTCAAAACAAAGCTGCCAACTGGGGTGGCAGCTGGGGTGGCAAGGCTATTTTTAGGGTGGCAGTTGCCACCCCATGCCACCCCGGTAGATCGGCCCCTGGTCCCGCCCCTTTAGCCTATCATGTACAATGAGTTGGAGCGCTAGCCAATAAAAAAGCGTGAGTGTTAAACAGGGATGTCACTATATGTTTGGGAGGTAAACTAAGGAGTACAATGGAGGGGGGGAGTGTGGGGTAGAAATGTGGGATTGTAGCCGTTGCAGACCATTTACATGCACAAAAACCTATATAAAAGAATACAGGAAAGGGGGCATAAAGGGGCCTCTAATACCTGTCGTTTGGCGTGTCTATTTGGAGATCCTTGGTCTAAATTGAGTGTATTTATGTCTGTGTGATCTGATGTCAGTGTTGCTCTACATCCCATAATGAGCTGCTGTCTGCTCACACACCTTCTCTGTCTCTCTCTGTTTAATGTATTCTCTCTGTGTATCACACACTCCCTTTGGGACCACAATTTTCTTTGGGAGGTGATATTTCATGCAGCATCTTCACATGTTCTCACACACACACACACACACTCTGTATTCAGAGCAGCGCTGCATTTGCACAAACACACATTTCAAGGTGACAATATTTAACCAGTGTGTGAGTGGCTTCATGCTAACTTTTACCTTTGTGTCTGCACATCATCCACGTGTGTGTGTGTGTGTGTGTGTGTGTTTGCATATGAAAGTGTAATGTGTGCATACGTGATTTCACAGGAAATGAAAAAGACATGCAACATCCTCATCTCCCTGTTGCCATGGCGATACTTACTGGTTATAACAGGAGCATCTAATGGGTCCTCCATACAAATTAACCTGCCACCGTGTAGGATGGACTTTAAAAATATATATATATTGATAAACTATAAATATTAACTATTGCCGTTAGCTTTTATAATGCTTTATGATCAATATTGGCATTTTTGAATTTGCATATATCGTTTTTTTTTGTATATCCATTACTGATATATTTATTATGTGCTTGCTTCTTTATTTATTATATTAGTTTACTTTGTTGTATTGCTTTATTATCTACACTGTGTCTTTAATGCTATAAATGTCCCCGCTGTGGGACTAATAAAGGAGTGTTCTGCTTTCACATTACTCAGATGTTATTGTCATTATATTTACTGTGCTGCTTTCTGATATATATCCCGTTCTATTTCTATATTAGCATGTGCAATACCTCAGCATCTCTTGTATGCTATTCCCTGCATATGTCACTTGTATTGGTGGGTGAATAGATTACCTGTCGCTGTCTTTATAGTCAGGTGTGATATGAGGAGTTAACGTGCAAAACATGTGAGTCATCCCGAGGATTCAGGAAAAAACATGCACTTCAAATAAAATATCAGATAGTAGCTGGGTATCTGCACTTAATGTTTTAAAACTATACATCCCTCATCTGATAAAACCATTATTCCTTCATGTCTCATGATTTGACAGTAAATCGTGGACTGATAATTGGATTTGATGGTTTATTTCTGTGTTAAAGCTCTCCTGGAGATGCTGTATTTCTTAATAAGTGTATAAACAGACTTCTGATGCTCATATTTAAACTGATTCATAGATCTTCTGGCTATTTGCTATTGAATTTGGTGGCTTCCTGTGCCGGAGGGGTTCCTTAAGTCAATCGAATTATCTGACTTGAGAGCGGTCAACTTTCTTTTATTGAGTTGTCTGAGCCCTGAAGCTCCGCGCAGAGAGGCCTGTTTCCGCCTCTTTGTCAATAACACTTTGCTTTATTTTCAGCCATAATTGCAAAGCCTGCATATCCAGATCCCAACTATTTTATTTATTCTAGCTATTTTATTTAAATGCAATTTAGTTGATATGATTTATACATTAGCACCAAGTTTCTGTAGATATAAGCACTCAGTGAACTGGAAGTTGGGACAAGGGAAACCTAAAGAGACTAGAAAATGAATTTAACTTCAAAAGCGAGAGATAAAACGTCAAAATAACCCACAGAAAGATTTGCTAATTGGGTTTCTGAATCCAAAGGACATCAAAAAAGAGGAAATGGTACAAAACAGAAGAGACATGACATCAAGCGAGGGACATCAAATAATTAATATGAAATAAATCAATGTAACTTTTCTCTGTTTTGCTTTCCTTTGCAGAGACTTGTCAAAGAATCCTCTCAGCACTCTGTCGTGGCAGCTCTTCCAACACCTGCAAATCTCCGAGCTGTAAGTTTGTGTTTGTTTTACATAAGAGCAATTTATCATCGCTTCCTGCACTCAATGCAAATTGTGCTCACTGCATGCCATTGCAATTCCTTTCTTTGTTGTACAAAGTGCTCTAATGTGTCTGAGCACGTGTTAAAGACTGAACCTATAGGCGGTGTAGTGGCACTGTGATCTTATAAGCCATTTGTTGACTTAATTAAGGCGCACAAAGGAAGGCGTAATGGTCTGCTGTGAGGAGGGAGGCTAACCCCATTTTCTTGTTTGTTATGAATATTTTAAGCAATGATTGTGTTTATGAAATGCTCCTTCACCGCCATGGGAAAACATTTTGATGTCTCCTCGCCCCGTAATTTACACATCATTACGCCCGTCAGCACCGTCCATCATTTGCTCCCTTTATTCAAAGATTAAGGAATACCTGGAATTCTGAATTGTCAAAGGTCCCCTATTACACTGTTTTTCATCAATATATTATAGGTCTCAGATATATCCAGAACCTGTCTCTGATTGGCTGAAACACCAAAGAGATCATTGCAGCATCCCATAATCCCCTCTGTTTCAGCCCTGTTTCCAAAGTGCTGATTCTCCGTCTGTTACTTTAGATGAAAATAAGGAGCCCCTCCCCACGCCCCTCTGAGAGATATTTGGTTAAAAAGAGCTCAATGGTGCTCTAGGAGGAGATTCAGGTGATAAGGTGGGGGGGGGTTACCTTGTTTGCTGATTGGCTAATGGTTACACAAGACAAAACATTGTTATGACATCACAAAGTGGCCAAAATCTGATCAGCTCATTTTCAGACAGGTTTGTATAGAAATGGATCAGGACAAAAAGAGAGAGAATCTTTTTCCTGAAGCTTTCAGAATCTCTTTTACACAGAGGGGACACATGTTGATGTAGAAGAGACATGGAAAAGGGGATTTTGCATATTAGGCGACCTTTAAAGTAATTTGTTGCAAATATATTTACTCACTCGGGTCACTTTTGATCCATGTTGTGTATCAAAGGGTTAAAAAGCTGAGGTACAGCGGGATGTGATGCTACACTATTTTTAGCAGGCGTCCTTGTTGTGCTATTTTCAGAGGTAGAAGCAGGGCAGGTCCTCTGAGAGGCGGCACGATGCTGATGAGGGGAGTCCTGCTGCGGCAAACTGCAGGAAGGGAAAGCCCTGCGCTCACTGACACTGTACTTTTGCATTTTTGACATTCGGCTTTACGCTGAGTAGAACTTAAGATGAGATAAGATCAGAAGTACTTTATTGATCCCAATTTGGGAAATGTTTGTGTTGCAGCAGCATAAAAAGACAAGGCATTGTACAATACAAATTAAAAGACTAGAAATATACAAGAAAGTAGAAAATATACATGTTGAATTTACAAATTAACAACCCCTCGACCCGGCGATAAGTACATTCTTTTACATTTTTAATGCTATTTTATTTCTATTTGAGATGTTTACATTTTGGATTGTTCAGTTTTAGCCTTTCATTTCTCTAATGTACATTGCCTTGTCTTTTTATCCCTAAAATGTCCCAAATTGTGATAAATAAAGTACTTCTTACCTTATCTTATCTTATATGGACTTAAATCACACTGTACATTTAACATTTATATATTCAGTTTAATATTTAATATTCCATTTCTCACATACTTATGTATATATAATAACTTTCTTTATATCTTGTTATTGTTCATTTGTAAATTCAACATGTATATTTTCAACTTTCTTTTATTTCTAGTCTTTACATTTGTATTGCACAATGCCATGTTTTTTGATGCTGCTGCAACGCAAACATTTCCCAAATTAGGATCAATAAAGTACGTCTTATTTGATCTTATATCACTGAACGCTCGTTCTTACCCGTCCTGTGTAGGAAGCGATTCCCAGCAGACCTCATACTGCTTCTTCACAAGTGTCATCTCACTCTAAGCTCTCATCAGAGGCAGATGGGTCTCTGAATCCCTCATTGTGCCTGTTATTGGGTTGTGAATTTCATTCTTCACTGGATGGAGGAAGTTCTGTACTTTGTCCTACCAGCTGTCCAACTCTCTTTGTAGAAGTTAGTTTGGCCTGTAGCTTCTCTTCTGCTGCAGTGTCTTTGTATTTTGTAAATATTGATTAGTGAGACAATGCATTTTGATTAACATGAGCACTGTAGTCCATCATGCATGTGTGCCAGATTGAACCATAGAGGCTAGTTTTCACCTGCAGTCCCTGGCAAGTTGATGGCATTGAATTGGCATTTAAGCGCTTTGAGCACCAGGAAAAGCGTGATATAAATCACATGTATTTGTATTATTAGTATTGAAAGAAGATAAACAAGAGCACCTTAACACAGAAACAATCTTATGAGAACAATCACAGCACATCGAAGCACAGTTGCAACGTGTTTTGAAGCACATGTGCAGATTTAAAAGCACATTAATACAAACCCATTAACACACAACAGATACAAATGGACAAACAAGCACGTATAAAAGCTTAAAGATTGGAAAGTAATGATATAACCTCTGCTACAGTTTATGCCGACATAAGGTTTGGCTGTCCGGTAATAATGTTTTACAGAGAAAGAGTTGTCATGTTCCTCAGATCTGTGGATATAGTCTTCCAGGTATGCGCTGCTCGATAAGAATAGGTACTTTATCTAATATTCCCTCACAGTTCAAACATACTTTTCAATTATATTTACTCTTAAAGTCGTGTACAGTTGTTTTGAGTGACAGGGGTTAGGGTTAGGATTAGGGTTAGGGGTCACATGTCACTAGTCAGGCTCATATCTGATAACTCAAGGTTCCTTCACTTTGGCCATTATTGTGACACAACTGAGCTAGTGTTTTCGAACCCTAACCCTAATCCACTCTTATACCTATGATATGCCCACATGAACACACTTCTTTCTGGCGAAGTCAACACACTTATTCGACATTAAAGGGGACCTATTATGCAAAATCCACTTGTTCCTGTCTCTTCTACATCAACATGTGTCCCCTCTGTGTAAAGAGACTCTGAAAGTTTCAGGAACAAAGATTCTCTCTCTTTTTGTCCTGATCCATTTCTATAAAAACCTGTCTGAAAATGAGCTGATCAGAGTTTGGCCACTTTATGATGTCATAACGATGTTTTGTCTTGTGTAACCATTAGCCAATCACCAACCAAGTTATCACCACCCCCCTTATCACCTGAATGTCCTCCTAGAGCACCATTGTGTTCTTTGTAACCAAATATCTCTCAGAGGGGCGTGGGGAGGGGCTCCTTATTTTCATCTAAAGTAACAGACAGAGAATCAGCACTTTTGAAACAGGGCTGAAACAGAGGGGATTATGGGATGCTGCAATGATCTGTTTGGTATTTGGAGCCAAACACTTCAGAGACAGGTTCTGTATATATCTGAGACCTGTGATATATTGATGAAAAACAGTATGATAGGGGACCTTTAAACATTTCAGCCTTTATTTTCCCCCTGTGCTTTACTCGTTGGTTTATAGTGGGAGAGGTCAAGATGGTTAAAAGGTGATGCATTTTCCTGCCTTGCACCAATCAAGCTTTAGCATCATTCGAATCAGACTCAGATGCTGGGTTGTTTATTTACTGTCGATCAATGTAATCCCCCATGAAGCCCTGATGAAGCCAATTATTTTGGTGTATTTAACTTTTAATAAACAACTTAATATGGCTTTTTATTATTGGATTATTGATTCAAGGTGTACTCAGCATATTGATGCTCTAACTGGTAAAGATGGGGTATTTTCTACTTTCTACACTTTTTAATTGGGGTCAGGGATAAGGTCATATTTGACAGTTATGTTTTCACCATTGCAAACATTATATTCAAAGCTTTTCATACTTTTAACTAGAAAATCTGAGTCACTGAACAGCGTTGCAGTATTATAGTTAAAAGTTAAATGACCTTACATTCCTAGATAGACTACATCTCGTGCAACAAACAAAAATAAGTAGCACAGTTTCCTTCCTTAACCGAGTCACCATCACAGCTCACAGCTCTGATGTGCAATCGCATTTCTTCTCGAGCAACCATTTTAGAAGCGCAACAAATGGTGTCTTTGTTGTTCTACATGGAGAGCAGGGCCGGGGTGACGCTTCTCCGTGAATGCTGATGAGGAGTGAGGCTTTATGTCTATTCCATTTGGTATGTTTGGTTAAGAGGTGTCAGTCGGAGTGGCGTGGTGGCACAGACGTGGGCCGAGGCGTCGTGCGAGAAGCAAGCCGTGTGGAATCAGGCCTCGCTAATAGGAAATGAGTCACTCTATCACGGACGTCGCCCTGACATCATTACTCTGTTCACTCTGTGCACAACCCGACCACATTACCCTGGGAAGTGCCAATCATTCAATTGCGCCAAATGAAGCGGGCACACCGGGCAGCTATTGCCTTTAATTATTAGAATAATACACAATGCAGTATCAATGATAAGTGCCAACCCACGCCGCTGAACCACACTGATAGTATGCAAATAGAGGTAGATGAAACCAGCTGAAATAATTTCCGTTTTATGTGACGAAAGGAGAGCATGGCCCTTTGCCATGACGCTGTCGCTACCCCGTGTTAACTCACTCACTCTGGGCGCTGTTATTCTAATTGTGTTTCGTGTTTTTTAACAATGAAAGAGGACCAATTTCAAAGCTGCAACATGGTGACAGTGACCTGAAATGAATAGGAAATGAAGAAGGTTTTTTCAAAAGGCTGCTAAATCGCATCAGAATGTTTTTGTGGATTAAGTCATTGTATATTTCATTGTTTTTATTGCACTGCTGCTCCCAAATTGCCTAAATGACTTTCGTGAACAAAATGATCATAAATGAAATGAAATTAATGAAGTATATGAAGTGCACTCGGTGGGACATATCAATTAAAAGATAATTTGTTCATCTCAAAGCTGCTGATAAAAAGTAGTGAAATCAGCATTAAACATCATGTAGTTTCATCAAAGCATTGTGATTAGAGTGAGTTTGTAATTAAACGCTACATTTCCTGCTTTTAAGTGC